TTATAGATTTACTCTTTTCCTCAGTGTTCTTTGCTCTGTAAATGACTAGGAGAGACCAGAGACCAGGACGACTCCTTCCAATCACTGATCTTTGTTGTGGATTAACTGCCTCCTTTATTGTCCTGTATCTAACTCAGACCAGATGAGCACACGACCCCATGACTGTTACATCTTCAGTGTGGTATGTTTAACATACCTCTTCTGAAAGAAAAAACAGACTAATCAGATCACCGAAATTATGCCATAGAAACATGTTGAAATTCTGTTCAGCTTCTCTTAGCTTTGTCTATATAAATGATCCCAAATTTCCATACTTGGGAACACTGACTTCCTACTTTGTGGAATCTGTGCTTCCTGTCCCTAAACTTCGTGCCTGAATAAACTGTAGATTGTGACCCTTTTGATTATTTCAGGTCGGCAATTTATTTCACTTACAGAAATCATCTCAAACCCAGTTTACTTGCACAGGAAGTTTAGACACAGTTAAAAGGGAGGTTTTATTTCGCTGCATTCGCAAAGTGTGCACCGCTTCGCACAGTGGAAGCCCCGCGCGGAGGTGCGGGGCCGCGTGGGTGCGGGGCGCGAGCGGGGCCGGAGGAGCACGGCGGAGGGCGGCTCGGGCCACGGAAACACCCGGAAGGGACCGTGCGGTCTGCCCGTGGGGAGCCCCGCCGGCCGCAGCGAGAGGCACCTCAGCGTGCTCCGCCCTGCAGCCGCGGCCGCTCACCCCACACAGCGTCACGGCCAGCGCAGGCCCATCGTCCTGCCAGGCCCCGGGTTCGGCCCGGTGACCTCGCGCACCCCCAGCGAGCCCCCTTCCCTCCCGCGAGGACCGGCCGGCGCCCCCTTTCCGTCGCCAGACACGCAGAAGGAAGGCCCTCCCTTTTCAGCCTCGCGCGCCCCGGAAGTGGTCATGCGGCGGCGCCGAGACCGGAAGTGGATGCGGCGGACGGTAGCGGGCGGCGGTGGCGCGGCCGGCTCAGGAGCTGCCTCGCGCGGCCGGGCGGGCGTCGCTGTCACGGCCGGCGGCGCCGCTCAGGGTCGGGCTCGGGCTGGGCCGGGCGCGGCCTCGGGGCTGCCCATGGGGCACGAGGGGCCAGGCCGGTGACCCCGGACGCCAATGGACGCCCCTGAGGAGCCGCTGCCGCCGGTGATCTACACCATGGAGAACAAGCCCATCGTCACCTGTGAGTGCCCGGCTGGGCGGACGCGGCGGCCGCTGGGGCGGGCCCGGGCCCCGGCCTCTTGGTCCCTGCTCTTTTGGTCCCCGGGCCCCGCCGGCGCGCTCTGGGTTGGCCGCTTCCTGGAGGTGTGGCCGGGGCGGCGGCTGCGGCGGGGCCCTCCGACCCCGGCGTTGTGCTCCCTGCCGGCTGCAGTTGGGCAGAACCCGCCGGACTCCGCCCGGGACGAGGCGCGCGGCCAGGGCCGAGGCCGAGGGCGAGGAGCGGGGGCCCGTCCGGCCAGGCCGAGCCGCGCGCCCCGAGACCGGGGCCCGTCTTTTCCCACGGGCAGCCGTCTCCGCGGAAGGGTCCCAGGGGCTCTCCGTTGCGGGCGTTGACCAAGTAGGAACAGGTTTGTTCTTGGGTGATGCGGGTCATGGTCAGCGCCGCCCCAGCGCGGGAGTAGAGCTCGCACTGCGACTTGGAACTCGCTCTTCGCCCTTTAGCTCATTGAATCTTCCCCGCGGTCCCCTCAGACAGTTCTACGGAGGAGAAAACCGCAGTTCAGGGGGTTAGGTGAGCCGCTCGCCGTTAACAGTCTCACTGGCGAGTGGACTAGTGTCTCTTTGGGTGTCAGTCCCCTCCCCCCGCCATTTAATGCAAATGAACTATTTTTCTGTTAAGAAAAAATTTACCCTAATTTTTGCAAGTGTAACTTTAGAATCATACTTTTAAAAACACTTGTGGGAAGTGTCGAAATGTTGGCTAGCATTTTGATGTCTTGCTGAGAGGTATTTGAAACGGGATTTTTGACCTTAGGCAGTACTGTGTATTTTCATGAATTTATGCAGTTTGGTTTTTCCCAGTTGTCTTTCATGCTTTGAAAGGAAGCACTCTCTTTCTATTGCAAAATCTGGGTGCCCAGGCCGGAGTTAGACTATTCTATATGTCTTGAGCACCCTTCTCTTTTTCTATTTCTTTCTTTCTTCCTTCTGATTATGGGCATGCTCTTTTTATGCTCCCTCTAGTCAGATTCCTGAGAAGTTTTATATTTAAGTTTGAAATTTGTTGCTTCATCTTTAGGTGATAGACTTTTCTTAGGGAAGTGGTTTGTATCTCACTTACATTAAGTTGGGAGACTTGCATAGTTCAGCAATAGCTGCTTTTTTTTTTCTCTCAGAATCTTTATGATCTGAAAGTCTTTCCCGACTCTGCACTTTCAGTCCCAGAGAACAGGTGTGGGTAGAGCTGGTCTGAAGGCCCTGCAATTCCCAGGCGCTTTCTGAATTCTCAGGGATGATGAAGACATTCTCTGTTCATATTAGGTTTCAGTGTCTTCCAAGTCATGAATTTTTTTCTCCCAAAATGCTGTGCACATTATGAGTGCTGGATAAATATTTATTGCTTGTATTGACAGCTACATACCTAGTTATATCTCCTACTTCTTAGTTTACTTACCTTTCAATAACAATATGTTCGCATAGGCATTATGTAAATACATTTCTGAAGGGAAATTTTTTTTTTTTTTT